TGTGAAGTTCAATCAAAGGAGTATCATTCTTGTCATCACCATAAAATAGATGCCGAGAAGGCAACTCCTAGCACTTACAAATTGATTTCTTTTATTTCAATTTCATACCTATATCTTATTTACACCATCTAGTTTATAGGTTTCATTCATCCCAATTTAATTGATACTACAGATTGAAAATTTTATTGTTAGAATATTTTGTTTATAGCTGAGAAACATACTTTTTTCATTGATTCAGAATGAAAACTGAAATTACAGTGCATATATGCAGGCTGGGGGCTTACTCAAAATCATGCTTGGAAAGAGTTTCAGTCCAGGGTGCCAACACTGATTCCAATTGATGAATAACTAATAGACTGACAAAAAGTAGTAATTACTGAATAATTAGAAAGGCCTTTTTATTTTTTTAAATGGGGTACAAACTTCAATTACAATCCAGTTGAAAAGATACACAATACCAACCAACACTTTATAGTACAATGAAATCACTCTTCTATGGTACCTGGTATGGAATTAGTGAACTTGGGGACCCACATCGACCTCAGTAGATAACCTCGGAGGAGAAGAAAAGAAAGGCTTGGGTGGAATTTCTAAGGAATCAAGGTTCCCTTGCAACATCTCCAGCACTTTACTTATTGGCGGCCTGTCTGAGGGGTTAGTCTGTATGCACCACAAGCCTACAATTATCATCTTCCTTGCTCTTTCTTTATCATCCTCATTCCTTATGTTCCAAATTCCAAGTTCTTCGTCCAATTCAAGATGCTTGTAAATCCGCTGCGGAAAATATTCGCTGCTATGATTTGATTCAAAATTGACATTTTCCCTTTCCCCAACCATCTCTAGAACCATCATGCCATAACTGTAGACATCAGACTTATGGGACACCCTTCCAATATTTCTACAAAATACTTCTGGAGCAATATATCCGATAGTTCCCCTTGCATCTGCCATTGAAACCATACTCTCTTTTCTTGGACACAATTTTGCAAGGCCAAAATCAGATATTTTGGGGCAAAAGTCATCATCTAAGAGAATGTTATGAGGCTTGATGTCAAAATGCAAAATGCGCGTGTTGCATCCTCGATGCAGGTACTCTAATCCTCTAGCTATGCCAACTGCAATCTGGTACAATGT